ATTTTTTTAATAGCTCTTTTTCAGAAGTAATCTGGCCACAAACGATAGCTCAACGAAGTGGCTAATCAAGTGGACATCAATAGCAGCCAAATACTTTCAACGCATGTTGATTCTAAAATGTGGAGGGAAAAACCGGAGGACCCGGAGAAAAATCCATGCTACCACGGGGAGAGAGAACATGCCAACTCTGAATATACAGGCGCCAGGGGTCGGGATTGAACCCACGACGTTCTACATACCAGGCGAGGGAGTTAACTTCTCGCAATCATGCAACCCACTCGCCCACGTGGTTCAACTAACCGAATGTAATTATATTTTGGTAATGATACAGATAGTTTACCTATTTGATTAACTATTGCTTTCTTAAATCAATTACAACCATTTATGTAAATGATGAGAAGCTTAGGCAGAAAAGTGCCTGTAGGCTAGAAAGAACCAAGGGTAGTAACACCAGAGTGATCAGTCTGGCAAGGATGCCAATGGGTTATCATTGTTCTGCTGCTATCAGAAATAATATGGCCACAACAAATTGAATCATGGTGCTCGCAAAAGAAACGCTGAGAATTTAAATATGCAGGACATTCCGCATGGTAGTCACGTGACATGCGAGGAGTGATGGGAGAATCGGGCCAACGGGGCACATCCGAGCCTCTTTCTCGAAAGTCACCGTGTGCGCACATCATTATTTTTATTCCATAAGTGGCCAAGACAGCAAGAGGTCAGCAACTTAGAGGAAGACCCCGAGATGCTAAGACACTGCAGGAGCAGGGTTTGGAGATGAGCTTTTGTTGAAATTGGCATAAGGAAGTGATGGCAGGGTGTGTTGGCTCTGATGCATTGCTCCCAGTTGTGAATGTGTTCATAGTTTTCAGAGTGCACAGTCTGGAGAGCAGGCTCAGTAAATTTCCCATAACCCAGGCTGTACAATGAGCCTATATTCTAAAATGTATAGAGTGTGTATCTTATAACTATAATAATATGACCTACTTTTATGCCTGCCATTTTGGCTGAGTACATGTCAGCATATGAAAAAATTTAATTTCAAGAATTTAAATGAATTGGGTCAATAGGGCTCCAATTCATTATGTGATCCGTTTAATTCCATTTAATTCCTATCACACTGCATCACTACGTCCTGATTTCTGACAGCCCCATGCGCAGTGTTTGAATGGCACCTCGGGTGGCATTATAAGGCAAATGTGTCCTTGCATGTGAGGTTGGAGCACACGGCTCACTGCGCACAGGGGCCCTGAGGTAAACGTGGGGATTTTTTCCTCCGTGCGGGACCAGAGGGGGAATATAACCTAACCTCACTGGCAGGCGTGAGGCAGAATTACGACCTTGTTTAAATACAGTGCACCAAAAAAACCATCACCGGTCGGGAAACGTGTGATGTCACTGGATACAGAGTCAATCCGTCCATTTTACAATTCTGCGAGGGCGGATGGTGCCGCACTTAAGCGCGCCTCACAATCGTCACAAATTTGAGAGTTTAAACTCCGATGGGAGGTCGACGTGGAAAAATGCTTGGCGGGAAGTCGACGACGGATGTCCGACGGAGAGAACGGCCATCACGATGTCAAGCTGAAATTTCCACCGCTGGCTCCGGAGCGATGGCCCCACACTCATTTGACATTTATATATTATACACACACGTTGCATAATTCTACGTATACCATGGCATTAAAAAAAGAAGAGTAATCCTCATGAGCTAATTAAACCCTCTAGGCCCACTGGGACAAACAATAGCCCTAGTCTGCTTCCACCAGCTGCTCCCACCACAAGGGTTTCTTTCACGGTCACTCCAGAAATTTTTAATTTTCTCAAATCCATCTCATTAGGACCACGTATGCCATAGCCTTTCCTGGTCTACGCTAGGAAGAGAGTCAGGGGGTGAATATGTCTCCATGCTCAAGTAAGCGTGGGACAGCATTCATGATCCGTTGGTGCCGAATAGCCAGGAATGGAAATTCCACATTCCGATAGCATGGTACAAATAATCTATTGTAGAACTACTGTGAAAATATTTATATTACAAAAAAATCACAAAGAATTTGGTTGCTCAAATTTACACGTGGCCACGATTATGTATCTGCCTGTGTCCTTGAGCCACTTGTGGAAATTCCACTATCCTGGGCAAGGTTTAGTTCCTTTATAGGGCAACCACTGGTAAATATATTCAAAGTTATACATTTTTAAAAGGTGTTTTTTTCTTATATTTTCCACGACACATTAAATTGAAATGAATGTCTAAAATGCATACAGTAAAAAATTGGCCATGTTTTTTTTTCTAAATTGTGCTGGAATGCCCGAGTATCACTGATCAGTCAAACGAGAGCAGTGCTATCACAGGAGCCTATTGTTACTATTACTACAACGAACACTGAAAAACACAAGTGTGTTGCCGCGAGTATCTAGGAGGTTACATCTTTTAACTAAGAGTGCCCTAAAGACGAAACACAATCCTGGGGGCCCTCAGGCACAGGGCACGCTAATTGACGGACTTGTGGGCCGTATTCTCAGTGCCACTCTGGAAGCAGTTGGCAGTGGCTCCCCCCTCCCTCCTTCCACTGGACCACCACGAGAAAAATCGGGCAAAAAAGCGTCCTAAAGGCTGCAAAGCCCGTACCACCGGACCACCCCTTCTTTGCCAACCTCTCACATTCAACGTTTTTTTGGTATGTTCACGTACAAAATTACATGTATCCCTTTATTTAACTCGAGGTGCACAATAGTCAGCGTTTGCCAACGTGAAACACTCAAGACCCAAGTCCTGAAAATATCACACAAGTCGTATATAATGTAACAACGTAGAGCCAGACGGTGGCAAAGTGCATTAGATAAGCATGCATATTCACATCCATTTTCATTAGCTCGCTAGCTTATGTCGTTTGGATGGATTCTGTTCATATTAGTGCTGGTTTAGAGCAACTGAGAAGTGGAGATGACTTTGTCGCTATGTACTCTGCATTAACCAAATCAAATGAGTTGGGGTGGCGCAACATCTTCTGTAGTAGCCCTGAGCAGTGGCGTCACTGGGGTTGATGTCTCACCCAGTGCGATAACTCGTGGTGTCACCCCCCATGGACCTCTGCCCATACCAGACCATATAGAATCCTTAGTAATGTTTTTTGTACTAATGTTAATCGTAAATCGTAATTCCCGTGTATTACTGAATGTAATGGCATGTTAGTGACGTTTTTACTTTTACGTAGTTTAACGTGGTTAAAGTGAAAATTCGGTAAGAAAACAATATAATTCGAAGTAAAAAACGCATAAACATTTAAGAACTACGTTAAATCATATGTATATATTTGCAAGACTGATGTTTTTAAAGAAAATTTTAAAAGACTAAAATAATTTTTTTTAGATTTAAGTTATATTTCTAAACATATATCAAGAAATGGAGCATTTCCCCCCACTTCATGTTTTCAATTGTCAATTTCTCTATTTAGTTATCAAATAGTTATATAATAGAAAATTGTTCTACGTGTAAGTTTATTAATAATTTTTATCATAGAATAATACGTGATATAGTTGTAAATTGCTTAAATGTAATATTTCTTAGATTATATGAATACCAACAACATTGTTTTGTAAAATCTTTCTACATTGAATTAAAACATTATTAGTTACAACATTATTAGTAACGGAACGGAAGCCTTTTTAGATTTTTCTCCTTTTCCTTTAATTGCTACTTCATTCTCAAAAAAGTTATTCATATATGTTAACAAATACTAATTACCACAATATTGTAGCTAAAACATAAAAAAATTTGACAAAATCAGCGACTATAAAAACACGACCAGCGCGTATTTGTAGCGCGTGCAGACGAAACCACGTGATTCGAAGCGTTATTGTAATTGGTTAATAATGACACCTCTGACCGCATTAGAAGGTTCAAAAATAAAATTAGCATAGAGTTTTAGCCCTGTAGGTATATTGATACAGTACATGTAAGCTGGACTTACGAAAAAAATGTCTGTTGTTATTACTACAGGGATATTTTTTTATATATAAAAAAAGACATTTCTGTTGAAACACTGCACAAAAATTGTATAGACAGTCATTTTGGTGTCACCCCTTCTGATGGTGTCACCCGGTGCGGCCCCCCCTCCCCCCTAGTGACGCCACTGGCCCCGAGCCAGCGGAAGTAATTCCACAAGGCTATCGTGGCACCAGCGTCAACAAAAAGGTGACATAAAACTACCCACAAGGGTTACTCACCTTCATGAACCTAATGGGAAGATGGGCTAAGTTAATTCCCAACTGTTGTATGAATGGGCAACCTTTTAGAAATCAAGACACTTTTAATAGCTTCAATAATTCTAGTATAATTTTCCCAATGTCTGGCAAGACCATTGTGTGGTTGGACCACTTGACTTGCAATTCGAGGTTTGCAAGTTCAAACCATCCCATCCCCACTCTGAGGTCAATCATATAATTATCGCTTTGCAGGAAGTCAACAATAATTGATCTGAGGAGAGTCCACCCCCCCCCCCTCCCCACTGTTTAATTATCACCACTGGCTCAGTTTTGTTCATTGCTCATTTGTACAGGAAGACTGCTTTCATCTTTGACTTTTTGAGTTGGTCATAGTTTTTTGCCAACTAGGTTAGAGGCCTGTATGTACGTTGAACTTCTTTCGCACCGTACGTAGCCATCCGTGCTAATGGGATGCCTGAGCGAGGCCCATGGCTTTGCCTAAAGGTATAAAGCTCACGTAAATTCTACTGCGTAGGATTTCGCGATTGTGCCGCTGTAGAACTCTGCGATGTGTTTTCCAGTTGTACCGCATGTAGTTAGGGCACGATGTCCGACGTTTTGTTCCATGTGCCGGGAGAGCTTTTGCAACTCAATTCCCCAGCGAAGCTCCCAACACGTGACGCGAAACGTCGGACATTTGAGCCAAACGACACGTGGCGCAGCCCGGAAACAGGGTGGAGAGTGATGGTACAAAACATTATCTCAAGCGACGCGAGAGGGTGCCGGAGACTCACGTCGTTGGCGTTGACGTGCCAAGCCATGTCTCCGTAGGAGACGAGCTGCCCATTGACGTAGCAGCGGATCTCGCTGTTCCGCCAGCGGTTGTACACGTGAACGATGGTTACCATGTACCACTGCAAGGGGAGAAGAAGAAGCAGCGCAGAGCTCGCATTAGACAGGTAAAAGTTCCAACCACATACGGCTTAACGCGAGTCCAACGCCCCACTATCATGATCAACAGCAGCTGGATAACTAAACGTTTAGGACAATGGCCCTTAATAAGGGTAGAGATAATGGGGCAAGTAGACTATTTTACCGATGTAGCTTTCCGATTATTAATGTTTTAATCACCGAAGTGATTAGCGAAACGAACACCACCACCGCTGGCTCAGAGTCACCAATGGCACAAGTGGTTTCTCCGAAAGTGGAGGCGCTTTGAGTTGGGTTGCGGTGGTCATGACCCGTGGCACAGTGGTGAAATTGACTCAATGAGAAGGCTGAGTTCAAATCCCATTGGAAGACTGACTCGAATTTTCCCCTCGCCAGGGTTAAGAAAAAGGAGGTGCCAACTTTGCGGAAAAGGCCCACGAATAAACTGGCCCTCGTCATGGGAATGTCCAGTTTCCGCCGCTGGCTTTGGGAATTCCAACAATATGTGAGCACTACCTCTTGATTTGTTCACAATTTTCAGTTCTCTTTAAAATGTTACACTAACAATTTATGCAATGTTGATTTGAAAAACAAATTTAAAAAAAATTTTTATCTGCAGACGTGTGCTTGTTTCTGCAGAACACAAGGATTATCTTTTCAATGTTTGGCAACAGCACTGCAGAGGCCACACCAAGGTGCAACCATTTCGCAAACGCACGGAGTGCAGTGCTAATTTAAGTGAGATGTCGATGCCAACTCACGTGAGAAGTTTCTTTGAAAGCCTAAATGGATGGCCAATTTGATTCAATTTTAAAATTAATTTACAACGCAAAGGGTGCCCTTCTGCAAAGCCGCACTCACTGGAAGGCTTACTTTTCAATAGTCGCCCTGAATACACTGATTATGTGAGCCTTCAGAAGCAAGGTGACATCATTCTATATTTGGTATTTTCAAAGCACTGTAATTATGTAATCCGACTACTTGATTAATTTTACCATGAACTTTACTCAGATTCATGTGTTCGGTAGAAACGTGAGCAGCTGATGAATCTTTACTGCGATGCATTGGCTGCTTGATGTTTCCACATCAACCGAAGCAGCCGACTTCGATCGCTTCCAACATTGACCTGTTTTCAAAATGATGTTGTAATTTTACAAACATGAACGTAATAACCAAAAGTAATCAACTAGTACACGCGAAGGTGCGGCGATCTTATTGCACGCTAACAAACAAAAAACATTGGGGGATTTACCAGTGTAGGTTCCTGGTTTTGATATTCTGATTGCACTGATTATACATATACTGTGTGAAACAAAGCCTCGTGACAACCTCGACTGCCTTGTGCTTTTAAACACAACTAATGTAATATTTTAAAGGTCCGAAAAATGCTCAATGACACGATTGTTTGATTTGACATTTCCCGCATCTCATATTCAGTTTGGCTGGTCCTTTGTAAGACGTCATATAAATTTGTCCTCTTTATATAAACGCACACATGCAGTGATCGAGTTATAACGACATTAAATTCAACGAATCAGAGACTTAATCAATCAGTCATTTCAAAATAAATAGGGATTGCATGAAGCTGGGAAGGAATTAAAAGTGAATTAATAATTATCCAGATTTGAGTCACTGCAAATGAACTGGTATGGAAAGTACAGTACAAGATTGACAAAAAAAATGTGTACCATGCACAATTTGAGATAATCCTCTGTAATGTTTCATTTGGTTAAACATTGAGAGCTAAACAAGCATTATTACTTGAAACACAGCGAAATAAAAAAAGTGCAGCATAACAGAAACACATTTAACAATAGACATGTAGATAAGTAAATCATATACCGCACAGAATGAGACATTTATTGAGTTTATATTTAAATTCATAAATACTGCGGTAATTGAAAGGATCACCATAAAACACACTTTTAATTAGTCCGATGGTGTAAACCACAGATGCAATTAAACATTCTATAATAAAACGTAAACTTTACAACCATAAATGCTGATCATATTTACAACCAGAAAAGATTTTTGAAAGAGAGCAAAAAAAAGCTATCGAGTTACACAGAGCGGTCAAATTCCAGTGATGAGCATTTGAAGTGTGCACACAAGACGCCACGGAGTTGCATGAACGGGTTTTCTCTTAGTCCTTCTGGTCCCGTTTCGTAAAATTTCGATTCATCGCGGGAAGGAGTCATGTTAATTACGAGTGTCCTCACGTATGATGTTATTTCTATTTTTTTTTCTCATTCACTGAATGATTTGACCACCCTTTGTATCGCACTACAAGGAAGAGACTAACAAAGCTCACAAAGCAAAGGTAATTATTGTAAACAACAAAAAAAATACAGCACCAAATTTTCAGTTGCAGCACCGGCAGCTTTAAACCTCTGAGGAGAGGGTTTAGACAGGGAGACATGTGGAGACATGAACAAATAATTACTAATGTATTTTTCACACCGTGCTCTTAAAAAAAAAGATGACTCGCACAAAAAACACAGATGGAGACACAGGATCTCATTTCTGTCGGTTCATATCACAAAACAGATGAAATGTACATCATGTCATTAGGTGATGATTTCGCAGATAACATTGATTGATGTGGTAAAATTACGATGCAAACTTCAGTTTTTTTTAATGAGGGCAAAAAAATGGTATTCGCAACCCCAACTGAGTAATTTATCCAATGGGTAGTTCATTTACTAATAAAATAGAAATTCTGTAATTGAAGAAAAATGCTAAATTCAGTAAGGACTGGTTATCTAAAGGGAAATGCATTGTATAATTCTATGATGAAGGCTGCACCCGCAGATCTGTTGAAAAACACCGCTGTTGAAAACGATGCCACATCTGGCCATTAAATATCTTGTTGCACTGATGAAATTGAATGGAATTAAGAGTCACGTCACGTCACAGCTAATACAACTCAAATCACTCTCTCGCAATGCATAATCCAACCATTGATCACTCACACACTGACGCCGCGATTACATTGCACGCACGCTTGTGAACGAGTCACATCAACATATAAATATACGCGTGTGTACGTGCGTTCGGAGCGATGCTGCTGCTGTGGTAGTGGCTGCTATCACACTGGACTTGCAATCTAGGTCGCCAATTTGATCTCCTGGGCAGGTTGCATGAACGTGCGTACACGTGTCGTCATGTGGCAGTTGAAACAACGGGCAGGTGGCATGAACGTCTGTACATGTGTCCCCATGTGTTTGCCCGAACACCCTTGAGTACAAAGGTGCCCCCTATCTCCAAGAATTATCCAGCTGAATTTCTTTCAGGAGAAATAAAGAAATAAACAAGTCTACAAACAAATTCCTACTGCCTTCGCGCACCCAGCAGTGTAAACGGGCCCGCCCCCACATCTTCCAAGATTGTCTGGCCAGCGTGAAAGGGTAGGCCAAAGACCCCTTTTAGGGGGTGTCGCGAACCACCTCTTAGTGGAGGCTCTTCCACTCAGACAGCGGTGGCTAACCAGCGTCTACCCCAAGCCGCATGAGGCTCTTTGATCCGCCACATTGCGGCTCTATCGAAGGGGCATAACATCGAATGTGCTATCACAGTTGCAGAGAATAATGAACGTCTCCCGTGCGGTGCCGAAGACTGTCGAGAAAGCAATTGCAGGGACACGCACCTTTACATCTATTGGTGAATTATAAGATGCAATGTACAGTAAAATGAGTGTAATAAGTTGAAACTGAATAGTACAAATGTGGAAAATACAGTCGTACGTACAGCAATCTAGGTACGAACAGATATATCTGGCTGGATTGACTGCTGTTAGAGTTTTCCTCACAAGAAGGAAGTTCACACATCCAAATTGTGGTGAAATATCCTGCAAGGTTGATAAAGTAAGTATCCTACCACGATGTAGGAAGTCAACAGTGATTGTCATATAAAGAAACTGGGCTCTGCCCCTTAGAATGTGGATTTTCCAGCAAATATTTCTGGGCCATTAATGCGGGTTAGTACTGCCCCATTGCTTGTTTGAGATGGGAGACGCTTTGGCTTATTTGGCTGTCTCGGTTTATGCACTTTTAAGTGTTCATGTGCATGTAATGAGCGCGATAATTAGTAAAGGAGACCCGCAACTATTCAACGGCCTCACAGTTCAATGCATAATCACTATTTAAGGGCCATGATTCAACTCAACAGTGAATTGCTTGTTTAACCACGTGGTAATATGAGCCGATTAAATACAACAACAACCGCCATTCGCCACTAAGTTGTGGTGACGTCACCACGGCGCTTGTGCCAGGCGATGTGCACTTTAAGGCCACATTAAGGATTAAAGGTTAAAAAACCACATGCATGCACAGTACGCTTAGTTAAACCACTACTGGATGAGGTCCTCCCCTCGTCGCACAGTCCCAAGTACAGAACAACAATGGATGTTGCTGCATTGCCCACCGCCCCACCTGCCTGCCACGCCTCTCTCGTGTGCTTGAGTGGCCACCCATCCCAGTACGACCCAAAAAACCTACACATCTACAGAACTTACACGCACGCACACATACGTACAACAAAAAACTTGAGCGGCTGATGCTGTGTGGCAGTGCTTTCTTGTGTAAGTGGCTAAACGTGTGCATGCATAAAGGCAAATTCCCTGCCGTCTCCAAAGGGCTTGGCTCCACAACCAGTCTCCTGGCAGGTGCCGGTGCTGACGAGCAACGTGGTGCAACCAACAAAGGATTTGTGCAAAAGGGCCTGTCATAAAGATTGTGCCGTCGCTGCGGAGCAACCCACCAACAGGACGCAGGGTTTGGTGGGACATGTTGTTTATTGTGAAATTTCGGTCACTGTTCCGATGATCACTATTACATTGCTTTTATGGCTTTATTTTGGTGATTTCGAAACGTTTTTTGGTTTGGCCATGTTTGTTGTAGCACGGAGTTAAACTGATGGCTTTCATCTAAGTTGTCTTGTGGTTGTTGTTGGACTTGCATTCCACTGGGATTTTTGCATGCAGCGTTGGTATACGGTGCTTTTTCTGGAAGATTTTGATGTTTTTTCCTTGATTTTTCTGTTTGCGTATAGTCACTTTAAGATGTTTTCTTGTTCATGTTTTTGTTTTTTGTTTGTTGCGGTTGCACCCAATTAAAGAGCCGAATGGCTCACAGGGCTATACACCAAATAAATGCAAACTGAAACTGAACAGGATGCATATTTTTTTCCTCTCCCTGTGGTTTTGGCGCAAACAACAGCCCAGGGGCCCCAACCTGGGCAGAATCAAAATGTCTCACTCATTAACAAAGTGAACCAGGACAAACGCTTCGAAGCAAGTTGATCAAGAGGTGAATCCTTCACCAAGGCAGCTGACTCTCAACCCATCTCACCACTCTTCCACCAGATCCTTTCGTCGTTGTTGCACCGTCTACACCAAAACTCATCCCAGCCATAGGCTCTTGTAATTTCCCACCATCTGGATTTTGGTCCTTCCTCTCATTTCCACCACACTCTGCATGCCACCAAACGCCTCTCTTGGTCACTCGGCCTACCCAGTTCTGCGCAGATACTCCACGTACGATACAACCTCATCTTCCTCACGTCTACCGTTCCATCATTCCACATTATATTCCAAACGTGCCAGATCCTGAAATCATAAAAAAGGCAGAGGCTTCCTTTCCTGCAGTTTTTATGGAGTTCACGTCTGTGTCGTGCAGCCATTTAGCTCAAACAAAGACAAAGATCTTCCGTACAGCCTTAACAGACTGTTGGGGCAAATGCTGTTAGTGAGCATTTGAGGATGAGTCGACCTATGGGAGGCCCGGGACCAGATCAAATAATCGTCACTTTGGTGATGGCTGAGCAGGAATCAAACTCTGGTGGCCGGGTTCTTAACGCAACGTGCTAACTGCTACATTACTGCTCCCCACTTAGCTCAAGCACACACACACACACACCTACCAAGGCTAAAGTTGACAGTAATGCTTCTCTAAAGTGGTTCATGAATTCCCGTGCAAAACTCACCGGACGAGCAGGGTGGGGCAGGAGCAGCAGAAGGAGACGTGGAAAGGAGATCCAAATTACTTTTTCATTCAGAGAGATCTATGCAAATGCTCAGTGCCAACTGTAAAGTGACGATGAGGGACCATTGCTGCAGGAGGTTTTTTTAAATCCTTTATATTAAGTTCGCTTGCTTGCTTGCTTAAGACCGTGCAAATCTTTCGGTCGTTTTTTAACACACTTACCGTGATCCAATCGAGCTGACATTTTCCACACAGACTCGTTGTGCGTGACAATTAATTTTCGTGAAATTTTTTTTCCAAAATTTTACACTGTTTAGAGAAAAAAATTTTTTATTACCAATTGCTTAATGCTGGCAGACAATCATCTGACCCATAGGTGGCAGCCATCTCAAGCCAGAGGACGAGAGGACTCTAGCCGCCACGCATATAAAGGATTTATAGTGAAAAACTTTGTTTTTACGGGTTATACTGTTTTGTGCTCACCTCCAGATAAGATGTATGTCATTTTAAGACACTACGCTATGTCCTCCAGTCTTATTAAAATGAGAACTCGGTCACAGAATGGCGAAGCTTGCTGTTCTGCCAGCTTGCCCATAGGCTGAGGATTGCACGAGGCTTAGCAGGATTATGTTCTGTCACAGACCAATGGAATGAACGGCAATAAACAACATTCACACAAACATGAAGAATGCAACATAATTTAGGGGCATGTCCAGGATACACATTTAAGGAATAAAGTCGTGCACTCTAAGGACCTAAAGCTGGCCTTATTTCTCCTTCCCAATTGTCTGTATTCTTAACATCCCAACATTCCCATCAACCGAGCTCGTGGAAAGAACGAAAATAGAAAGGCAAAAAAAAGATGTCAAATGTTTCCATGCAAACCATTGACAATGTTTTCCCAATCAATATCTGATAGGGTATCATCCTTTTAAAATCAATTGATATCACTGTAATTTATAATTGGTTGTACCATTGATTTCTCTTTTCAGCTCGGAGACCGGCATAGCCCTGTTCTCCCTACTCATCTCCATTGGAAGCCTTGAACCAGTTGTGTAAATTCCACGTTCTTATGGCGGGTCCAATCTTTCCATTGGTTAACGACAGTACTCACTTTTATGATGCAGGAGATGATCGCCTGAATCAACACCTGATTGAGATTTCAATTTCAAACCTTCTGATTTTGAGAAAATGCCACCTGGTCAGTTGCAAGAATGGGATGCATAATATTAATAATACCATAACATCATTTATTCAACCAAGCCTCACTGAATCTGAAGAGCCCAGTCTATTTTAACGGCATCCTATATTGGAACATTTGGATAATTCCTAGCTAACGGGAGAAATACACGATTGTACATCAGTTCAAATTGAGGCCTGGCATTTTAACAATGAAGATAACAAGCGCA